GAAAACCGACGTGAAACAACGCTTGCGTTGTGTTTCGTCGTGTGAGTGAGGTTACTGGAGACCCAATTACCCTCCCCTTCCCCAATCTCCCCAATCCCTGAATCCCCAACGATCCTCAAACTCCTAATCACCATAAGGCCGGTAACGCACTTGTAACGCCTCTGGTGTTCCCGGTGACCACGGACGACGCCGATTGCTTACCATCAGGTGATCCGTCCGCGCGTTTACCGGCTTATGCCATAAAAAAAATTGCAAAGTAACTTTTGACCTTGAAATACCTGAGTATCTCATTGGGTTGATTGCACACTGCAATTAGGTTTACTAGATGGGGTATTCAGTCCACAGCGTGGTCAATGGTGTGCGCAGATGCGTACCAATGTAGTTGCGCCACGGAACTCTTGCTAGATGCGCCAAGTACAACTCCCGTACAATGTGGATTAAGTAGAATGAGAGATAATTATGTATTGGTTGTGTGTTACTGTTGTGTACACTAGTTAAATATTAAGTGACTCTTCTAGGTGTTTATTAATTCTATTGAGCTTAACTTAAATTATTAAACAGCTTAAGAAATGCAGGTGGCCTGGTGATATGAAGAATTTCTGAATTGAACATCAACATCGACAGCCTATAAGTAGCCACTGTTGACCAAAGGCTTCTTCTCACACGGAGAAGGTTTGAGCATTAATCGCCACGCTCGCTCAATGCGGGTTGGCGATTACAAACTTATAATTAGGAATTATAAGCTTAGGTTTCCTCACGATGTTTTCCTTCACCGTTTGTTTAACTCGGAAACGGAACTAACTCGGAAAAAGTCAATATTGGTACTTGCTATTGGTAGGTTTCGAACTCGCACCCTCATGCATGAGAAGAGGGCGTCTTAAGCTTCAGGGCCGGGAATTGAATATTATCAAATTATTCTCAACTTTCTTCTATTCTACTGGAGGATTTTTAACAGAATGACCAGTGTCACCATGATCGGGTTCATTAATTAATGTTTAGGCTATAGACCGTAAGTGGATACCTGTAAAGCATATCATAGACACACATAATAACATCAAATCTAACCTACTGATAGAAGATAATTCTTATCTTACAACTGTTGGTACAAAGGTATGCACGCACTACGCACCTACTTTCTCCACCTCCTCCATAACCACAAAACAAAATGGCAGCTAACCGTTTATCATTAGCTTGCCATCAATCACGTGACCTCACGACAACCATTTAGGTAATTAATAACTCCATAATACACAAATACAAAGAGAGTAATGTCATAATCAGTTGTTTTAGCGGAGTGTCCCCATTGGTCGGTGATGTAACGCCGCGTGCGTCTACGCATGTATAGAATTAATCACCATAATACCACATACGTATTGCGTAGTTTAGTGAGGCACGTGGCGCCTCTTGATTTGAAGATAACTGCTTTATTAATTGGTGTCCAGTTTCGGAATGTTTGCTTTAGAAAATTAGAGAACAGGTTGTTTTTGATATATCGTGCTATACAGGGTGGAATTTTGTAATGCCACCTGAAGGGGAAGTAGTCTTAACTCGTCGAGTACCGTATTTATAGACACAATTAAAGAACAATAGGTTGCGGTCACCGGTGTCCGCTTGGTGTTTGACAGTTTAATACTTTATATTTATAGAAAATATTACTCAAAGAAAACAGTCGTTTATTTTTGAAGAAAAAAGAAAGCTTCATTCAAACACAGACCCTGACGATCGATGCAATAAAAGTAGGTATAGAGTGCAACTAATACAGATTTTAGTCGGTTCGATTACCGTATTACCGTGTGCGACAAGCGAATTTTAAAAATCTTTTAATGCAGTTTTATACATGTACTTTTGAGAGATTATTGTTATTTGATAAGTATTTCAGAAAAGTGTCAAAATCATGAATTATCTAATTAGAATTTACGTGGGTATCATTACTCTTAAGTAGTTTCAAGAACTAATGTTTTTTGTTTAAAACCAGAAGTATACATCACTTAACATTAAGTTACAGCTTCAGGGCCCACGTAGAGCCTGCGTCAGACAGCTGAAAGTTGGCAACTGCCCAACAACTTGAACTTCAGGCAAGTTAGCCCATTCTGCTGAAACTGGAGCACACGAGCCAACTGAAAACTGTGTTACATGTGTTTCAGTGTTGTACAAACCTGAAAATATAAGTTTAGAAACTTTGTTTAATAGTACACGTCATAATTTGTACCTGTTATAGTTTGTTGGAGTTTTCGTGAGCTGAAAATATGAGTGTTGGAATACTGGAGTTGCAGTGTTTATTTATTTATTCCAAGGAGTACGGCCACATCACAAACATATAACATTCAAAATACACAATAGTAACAAAATAAAGGTCTGATGCATGCGACAATAATGGCGTACATAGCACTGGCAATTCATAGGCTTAACAGTGGCTTAAAAATAAAATCCAATTTGAGAATTATGGAAAAGAAAATAACAACAATAATCCACACCATACACACATTAAAATGAGAATTTAACAAGTTCAATTTTCAATATAAATTAACAACAAAAATGAATTAGTATCTATGCCATATTAAGTCTAATAATAATAATTTAATACAAATGTAATATAATATAATGTCAAATTATCTTCAAGATTTCAAGGAAATGTCAATTAGATCAGAATCAAAATAATTTCAGTGATTTAAAAAAATGTCAAAGTTTAAAAGAGATGTCAAAGTATACTATGTCATATAGTATGTCAAGTCAAAGTACAGTGTTAACAGAAATTGAAAAATATATTTATATTATAACTTTCGTGAGACATACTTAATGAATTATTATGTTTTACGGCTGACTCACGTAATTATTTGACGAGGAACTCGACTGGTTTCAGAGAGGCTTACATTCATGAGCAGCATTCCGCGATACGCGACGCGGCCTCTGTTGCGCTGCTACTCAACATGCTCTGATATATAATATTAGTATAGTATGATAATATGAGGACCTTCTTCAAAGGTTGCAAGCACTACTTGGATACTTAGATTGCGTCCAAAATTCTGAGGAGTACACAAAATTCCTTATGATCTACTGATTCAGGGAAATAAATAAATTGTTAATAAACTCGAATAATCTAACCTTTCTTGTTGCAAGCTATGATAAAGTACTGTTTGGTTTCTACCAAACAGTACTTTATCATAGCTTGCAACAACCGTACAGACAGAGCAGTACACACATATTGTACTTTAAACATACAATACTCTGTCAGCATATAGCAACATATATAATAATAGGCATATGTTACATAATTATGTAATCCCAAGCACTCGAGTTGCCGACATACTGACAATAATACGCTATTAACATACTATCTTCATTAGTTTCCGTAATTAACAGTATACGGGGAAATAGGCTGTCGCTGATAGCTATCTCATTAATTATTTGTCTGCTAGTTACAGTTATTGTAAATAGGGTTTATGAACTTATTAATGAGGTTGAACAAATTTGATTGAACTTGTACAATTTATATCATACGAGCAATTTCCGCGCAGATTCAAACAGCTTGATGTTTTATAGCCTATAGCTTGCCTAGATAAATGAACTATACAACACAAAAAGAATTTTTCAAATCGGAATATTATAAGATAAGATAATGATAATATATAATATAAACATAACATAACATCATGCGGGGTAGGCAGAGGTGCACATTACGGCAGTTAATGCCACTGTACAATGTAACACCCATTTTTCACTATTTATCTTAATTACCCATGTTTAAAGGGGTGGTCAGCCTATTGCCATATACCGGGCACATTTCCAGACTCCGTGCTACTACTGAAGTTTTTACACCCAGTAATACTTTGTCAGACTCGGGAATCAAACCCGAGACCCCTTGCCCGGCTTGAAATAAATGTACAAAATATAATAAGGTATCATCACATCGACTGCTGACCATAGTCCTTCCCCAATGACATCCAGATAGGCCGGTTGGAAGCGATATATATCGAAACAAGTATACGATAAATACCTCTATAACATGACGTCGAACGTTGAATCTCATTTGTTTCTATCAGTCTAATGTTAAGACTGTGCGAGTCATGATTGGATGGAACATGTGATTTAGGTTATTTTAAAAGATTTAAATCCCATCGATACCCTAAGTGCCTTGGAATTCTAAGATTTACTGATTTTAAGTGTGGGAGAGCCATGCTTCGGCACGAATGGGCCGGCTCGACCGGAGTGATACCACGGTCTCACAGAAAACCGACGTGGAACAACGCTTGCGTTGCGTTTCGTCGTGTTAGTGAGGTTACCGGAGGCCCAATTACCCCCGTCTCTAGTCCCCGTCTCCCGAATCCTCGAATCCTCCACAATTCTCAAATTCCCAATTCCCAAAAGGCCGGTAACGCACTTGTAACGCTTTGGTGTTTCGAGTGTCCATGGGCGGCGTCGATTGCTTACCATCAGGTGATCCGTCTGCTCGTTTACCGGCTTATGCTATAAAAAAAGACTTGAAAATGAAAGTATTACAATATCCATAAAGATTCATTCATAGCAAGTATGTCGCAGTCCGATGCTGCATACCTCCGATTTGAACAATGATATGATATAATAGTGGTCAGTCATGAAATGTAATGGACGTTAATATCCAAACAATAAAGTCTTAATTGCATTACGTGAGAACCTTTCAAATTTTATCATTACCTACTAACAATCCAAGTTTTGAAAATGTAGCGTTCGGAAGAATGCAAAAAATTATGTAACAAATATTCCTTTTACGTTTACGATTGATTGATTTGCCTTGAAATTAAAAGAAGCATTACTGTTTTATATATTTTACTAGCGCCCAGGCCCGGCTTCGCACGGGTGCAATATGCATGTATTATACATATATAAACAATCCTTAAGAATCACTGTATCTATTAAAGTAAACCGCATCAAAATCCGTTGCGCAGTTTTAAAGATCTAAGCATACATAGGGACATACAGACGATAGCGAGTTTGTTTTATACTATGTAGTAATTTTATAGAGCTAGCTTTATTGACTATTTCGAAAAATAATATTATAAGACTAATAGACCTGATGAAATCAAACATAAATTATTTTTAATTTAGACAAAAATGTTTTTTGGAAGTCTAAATTACAAAATGTAGTCACATGTCATGTTTGTAACACTATAACATAACATCACGCCACGTGGTTATTCTCCGATGAGTCTCGGGCAGGGACCAAACCTATTACCATACCCACCCAGGGTATGGTGGTATCATTCTAAGCAATTGCCGTAATGTTACTTAGTCAGACCTGGTGTTCGAATCTAAGACTCTTTGTTACACAGCCGTACAAGTTAAAAGTTTGCTTGTTTTTAGAGAATTACAGCTGATGGAAGGTCTTCTCGAGCTTTTCTTTCGCCGTATGATACTGAATAAGAATTTCGAAAATACAACCTAATAATTATCTAACTAACGCCGGCCGGTAACGCACTTGTAACACACATGGTGTATCAGGTGATCCGTCTACTCGTTTACCGGCTTATCCCATAAAAACACACTTGAGATAAAAAACATTATCATACTTTTGTTATTATTTAATGTAATCAAATGGGAACATGCAATAATAACTTCGTCACAAAACTAATATTGCAGTATCATATATCATATATTATCATTATATCTAAGTATCAAAGTAAAAATATCGCTAAATAGTAATGAAAGACGAATACTTTGGTGCGAGTAAATATTGGTGCATGATGCAACGTGACCCGACTTCACCCGACTGCGCCAGTTAGGTAAGTTGTGTGTTTGACATTACGAGTGTGTGTGATGTGTGACTGGTACAGGAGCCGAATATAAGCTATGTATCAAGTTTATATATTTCCTAGCTTCTGCCAGCCTTCGCTCGCGTTTTGTGGGATAAAAAGTAGCCTGAGTTATTCCAGACCATTATTAACCTCACAGAAGACCGTCGTGAAACAACGTTGTGTTGTGTTTCGTCGTGTGAGTGAGATTGCCGGATTCCCAATTACCCCCCCCCCTCCGTCTCCCCAATCCCTGAATCCCCAACAATCCTCAAATTCCTAATCCCAAATGGCCGGTAACGCACTTGTAACGCCTCTGGTGTTCCAGATGTCCATGGACGACGCCGATTGCTTACCATCAGATCATCCGTCTGCTCGTTTACCGGCTTATCGTATAAAAAAACCCTGTTCCAAAGGAGATTACCGGTCTCCATATATTCCTATATAATGTACTAATATTAGTATTCAGCTCTGTGCTTTGTGTAATTAGTTTTTTATACTATAATTTGGTAAACGTCAATTATTTGAGTTAGTAGTCAATAAATCCTCCTAAAATTTGTTCCCGCTCTAATGACAGATGGTGTGAGTTTTAATGACTTTAACATGAGCTTCAGCCGTTTGTCTTGAAGACGTAACAAAGAAATATACAAACGTATTTATTATATTAGTAGGATATTATTTACAAGTAATTATTGTATTAAATATAGTCAATTGAATACAGCTTATCGCTTTCTTTGATTAATTAGAATGAAGTCATTTATGATTGATTTTTGACAAAAAATGCTGAAATCTTCATATAGTTATAAGCGAAAATCTTGGCTGAGTGCCGAGTGGAGCAAGACCATGTTACATAGGAACACAATTTGCAGGCTTTGTGAAAACGGTTTCCTTATAAAATAGTAATTTTTAATGAACCCTGGCCTTCCCAGTCTCGGCACTCTGCCAGCAAATGCTTTGGGTAACGAAACTGGTCTTTGTTTAAACTGAACTTAATTTTTTACTGATAAAGTCACTCACCTACTACCTAAGTAAGTATATTATACTGTAACGACATTTACGTGTCTGTAAAATTAAATAATCTTAATAGGAATACTATCTTCTTCAGCAGAGACTTGTAAATGGCAAACATAATGCTATCTGACTTCAATTTCTGATGATATTGATTTCCGAGCATCGCGTGGAATTTTCGAGTTAGGTAAGAATTTCTTGTATCTATGAAAGTTTATCACTATAGACGAAGTCATACACCTAAGTACCTGTAACAAGGAACAAAGTAAAACAAAGATAATACGTACAGATATTGGACTAAAATAATAAGAAACAGTATCAATCAAGAATGCAGCCTAAAGAACACGAACAGACATTGACTCGATGACTCAATGCCCAGACACTTCTTTAAATAAAATATATAAGTAGACTTCACGAATATAATCAGATAAGGTCGTCGAGATCATAAGTCGAACAGTTAATACCCAAAGAAAAAGCGTTTATAGCATATAATAAGATTACAAGTGCACTTCATTAACTTGTAATATTGTCCAAGTAAATTATTGTAGCGTATGTTGGGTGCACGGTAGAGGACGACCAAGTTCAGAGATATTTAGTAGATCAGTTTATAATATTTTGTTGTTGCATTAATTTGATTTTTAAAGTTTATGGGTAATATTGAAATTGTGCTTGTTTACATAACTGGCAAATATATGAATTTTAGATTAGCATTAGATTTAATTTTACTGCTTTAAATTTAGGAATTTGAAACCATAATATCACATGACCAAAATTCAGACATCAATTTAGCGACCAGGTCAACAATGTAATCTAGAGATTTTGTTGCTTGAAAATTAAAAGTAAAAACATTTTATAACGCGTGTGCTTCATGAATATTCACATCCTACCTGAATGGAATTAAATATATGTAATCTTATGTAGTCACACATTTTACGAGATTTACATTCATTAGGTATATTTTTAACATTCATTTAAATGTTTAGAATTAACTTTCCTAATTTACCATAATTTTTATGCGTGAGCAATTAAGTTTAGACACAAGGTAGGTATATTTTGCATGATATTTGCATACGAATATTACTTTTAAACACTGACCTAACCTAACTATTGTATTTAAGATATGAGGGATGCAGATTTTGGACCTAATACATACAAATGGTGGTATTGCGTAGTTCTTACGTGTTGTTATTTGATATTGCTGTCAAAACCTACCGGTAATAAAATTTTATTATAATTGATTTAACATAATTAAGCCCATTTAGCAACAGTTTAAAGGCTGAGGGAGGTGGAACCGAAAGTCAAATTAATTAATTGATTTATTTTATTTTTAGCTGCGATAGTGCGATCGTCCCACTGCTGAGCAAAGGTCTCCATACCCTGCTTGTACTCTTCTCCGTGCAAAACTTTCTGCAGCCAATCCTTGTCGTAGATGTAAAGTTCGTCCTGCCATCTCCTTCGGCCTAAACACTTACACATTTTTGGAACAGTAAGATAATTTTTTTAAAGACTTGGCGCTCCTCTCCACCTGTCAACAAGCACATCAAGAAAGATACATTAGTATGCAGTACGCGTACAGTTAATTATAATTAAAGTAATCCCGTTTAAAGTTCACGACTGATTGCAATCTGGTATGTGTAGTACAAGACAATGTCGTTTTTGAACAATCAACTTTAGTATATTGAGTGAAAGTTGTCTTTCTTCTGCGTACCTATATGTAAATTGTTTGTTTGTAAAGTGAATGTCATGTCTTTTAATTATTACAGAGTTTAAAAAGGTGCACAATGAATATATCAAAACTTAGGTATTTACCTATACTAATTTTTTCAACCAGTAATGTGTGTTATAACACGTACCATGTAATAAGAGATAAACCTATTTCATACTGGCCACATAGACATAGATTCATAATGTTGTGTTAGATCTTATATCGATATTATTATCTTCTTTACTTTAACTTACGACATTTTAATTCAATTAATATTCTAATAATCTGTCGGATTTCTAATTGTGAATAAACTAGATTTGGGAGCAAACAAATAGAGCCACTAGTAAATTAAAAAATGTATAAAAAAATCAATTCTGGTTACCACCCAAGCAAAGTCACAGTACTCCTCAATACACAATAAATCACTTCGAATATTACTTAAGTAACGTTATGGCAAATTGTTGACCATCGCATGCGCATACCATCGCTCCAGCTTACTGCGCCCGCGGCGCGATCTATAAGGAAGCCATTATTTATTACAATATCGATCCAATATGGCGGACCTCACATTTCATTGAGGTCAATAACAATTTCGAATGTACGAGCCTTTTTGTAGCTAGAAAAAGGTGACCTTTAAATTAAGTACTAAATAATTATACTTGCCCATAGCAACAAGATGAGCCATACCATGTAAAGAGGCAGTTCTGAAGATGGACAACTGTCTCAAGTAACGGAACTGAATATCAAGTTAAGAGATAGTCTACGACAGCACATCCAACCCCATCTTATAAATGGTCAGCAGGCCGCGACAGTGCGCTTCTCTCGCAGCTTTCTGCCTCGCACAGCAAAACTGGAATGATCTGTCGTTGGCGGTATTTCCGAACCGATAAGACCTTTATGACGGTTTAACTTCAAGAAAAGAGCGTACTCCTTTTTCAAAGGCCGGCAACGCATCTGTGACTCTCATGGTGTTGCGGGTGTCGCTTACCATCAGTTGATTCGTCTATTCGTTTACCTCATATTCCATAAAAAAAATCATCGGTAAAATATTACAAACTCGTCAGAAAATAACATGGGACATCAGAGACAACAGACACATAATCCAGTAGGTCGACAACGCGCTTGTGATACTTCCTGTGTGAAGGTGTAGCTAGGCTACGAAGACCGCTTACCACCAGGTGGACCGTAAGTTCTTTTGTTACAGATATTAGGTACCTCGTACAAAAAGCCTTCAGCATACCTACTTATTACTAATAACAAAAAAACCGTCTTCAAGCCCCTGTTTTTTGAAGTCGGTGTTTTTAAAGGGACAAACCCGCCACATCCTCCCAAAACCGCTGCCACTCCTGTAAGCCAGGATCTACAGTAGATACAACCATGAAAACATCAGAACATTGAAGTCTTGCGCGTCCTAGGGACACGAGTAACTGTCTTGGTTCCCGCAACGAAATGAATCAGAAGATATTATAAGAGGAGAAGAAAAAGTGAAGTTGGTTTATTAATGTAACTAAAACCTTCTCCTAAATGTAACATGTATTATTATTCCTAAACATAACGTGTATTAAAATCGGTTCAGCTAATCCCGAGATAGTTTCACACAAACACACATACATACAGTCAAACTGACAAACTCCTTTTTGTTTTGAAGTCAGTTAAAAATCCATCTCACTTCGCATTACTACTAACATGTCTTGGTCACTTCTGCCGAAAACTATAATTTACTTACATAGTAACATAACATCACGCCTTTTTATCCCCGAAGGGGATGCCCATATACCGGGTCCAATTCCAGACTCCATGCTACTACTGTTTTTTTTTTTTAAAACCTAGTAAATCTTTGCCCGACCCGGGAATCGGCAGTCTATAGTAACAATCTTCCAAAAAGTATTAGGAAGATGACTATATATGTATAATGTACATAAGTAATGTTATGTAAATGTTATACGATTATATAACAAGTCATTAACAGTATACGTGTGTGGAGTAACGGAATATATTCTCAAAAATACTAAACATTTTGCAAAAACTAGAAAGTGAACAATATTTACATTTAGATGTTTAGAATTGTTATTTGTTTGTTAATTAACATTTACTAGTTTTCGTATAAAACATATAATAACTAAACGTCATGCCTCTTAATACTTCCAAAGGGTAGGCAGAGGTGCTCTTAGAAAAAGTCAAAAGTCTACATTATTTATTTTAATTAGACCAAGAAAGCAATTTGAATGTCAAGCAAAATGAAAGGTGTCAGCCAGTTGGTCAGTCCTCTAGTGAATCTATTTGATCGTACACATAACATAACATCACGCCTTTTATCCCCGAAGGGGTTTTTTTTAAGGGGGGAATATCATCGAATGACTACAATGTAATTCTACACGTTTGACGTTGTTGTCAATAGAGAATTCAAAACATATGTACCCCCCCACCGGTGCTGCCCCTAGCGGATATTTTTTTAATCTTCCCAGGAAAAAGGCTAATTGTCATAAGTATTTGTATACCGGATTCATTATTAATTTAATTTGAAACTAGCTTCTGTTCTTCGTACGCGCCATCCCGCAATTAAAGGTATCCTATGTCCGTCTCCCGGTACTAAGCTACCTCCCCAGATTTTAGACTAAGGTTGAGACATGAGTTTGGGACTTAGATTGAGACGGAAGTTAACACAAGGTAACTAACATGCCTTTTCTCTATATTCTCTATAATTATTATATAAGTGTGGGAGAGCCATGCTTCGTTTGGCACGAATGGGCCGGCTCGACCGGAGTGATACCACGGCCGAGCAAAAAACCGACGTGAAGTAACGCTTGCCTTGTGTTTCGTCGTGTGAGTGAGGTTACCGGAGGTCCAATTACCTTCCCCTTCCCCAATCACCCCAATCCCTGAATCCCCAACGATCCTCAAACTCCCAATCCCCAAAAAGCCGGTGACGCACTTGTAACGCCTCTGGTGTTCCAGGTGTCCATGGGCGACGCCGATTGTTTACCATCAGGTGATCCGTCTGCTCGTTTACCGGTTTATATATAAAAAAATCACAATTATATAGATAAGATTATTATCCCAGTACAAATAAAAAACCAAATTAAAAGCAACAATTTTTTGTTTGTATTTTTAAAGGCGTTCTGTTTACATCGTATAAGGATTTTGTACCACTATATTTAGATGTTATGCAGTACATTGGTAGCAGCAATGAAAGTGACATGTTCGTGTATTTTAATTAACTAAACTGCCGGTAATTACTTAATATTATGTTATGTTCCAAGAGAGAATTACGCAACGATTGTGACGTTTTTGTTTACGATAATTATATTCACGCTGTCGCCGTGGAGTGACGGCAGAGATATTTATCACCATCCTCTTCTCCTGGGTGCCGTAACAGTCACCTAGACAATAAAGTAATTTAACACACATCAGCAGTCTATGATAACCTGGTGCTTACTCTTGAAACCAATCTCACTGTCAACGCAATTTCAATCCAACAAAATCTCAATAATTATTCAATGTCAACACTATACAACCCCTATCGTAGCTATTAAAATAGCATTCAGAGTACAAATTAAAAAGCCAAAGTCGATACCATTTAGTTGATTCAATATCCACGCAATACGGATGCAATGGGCGCTAGTGTTACAACTGAAGAGTACGTTCACAATATCAATGTCGATCGATGGGAATTGGATTCAAGAGTAAACCCCCTGAGTTTTTTAAACAGTAATTTCCTATTTTTAAGATTATGGCATACTTTTCTTTTACAGGAGGCCTATTAGTCCAGCAGCACACTTTCAAGGGCTGTCTATATGTATCTATACTAGTAGGGTAGTAGGCAGTGTAGTGATAACATATAAGACACATGTTTTTTTTTTATTTTATCGTATAAAAAAACAATACTTACATAAAACGAAGTTAAGTTTAGAAGCGGGAGGTCGTTACGTCACGCTACCCTATAAAATTAAGTAAATTGTGACGTCACATCATATTTCAAATCAATATATCATCGAAAGTATGTAATTTTGTAAGAAAGGAAAAACTACGTGTCTAATGTTTTAAAATAATCTACTAGATGGACATTATACATATTTCTATATTTATTAAATATTTATGTAATTACTTTAATATTGTATACATAATAATTATTTTAAGTAAGTATAAGTTTTGAAATATATCTATATAAAGTTTATTTAATGTTATAATTGTTAGATTTGTTTTATATTGTACTGGCTATTTTTATTAGGTACATTCCCTATTTATAAAGATTTAAAATCACCTGCTATTTTCATCTCTGCATTACTGAGGGAAATGGTAGGCAGGTTGTTTGAGGACTAGAATACTGAGAACAAGATACTCAATCTACGACACATCATACCGAGAATGCAAGGCTTTCCAAAGTAAGCAATCGTGCTCTCAAAGTCACATGTCAAAAAGTTGTAATTCGCTATTGAAGGTTAAAGTAGCTCATCTAACTTTACGACTTTTATTTCCCGAAGGGATAAGCAGAGGGGAATCGAAGTTCGAGTTTGTTGCATTGCACAATTTTTAAGTCAAACAACTCAATGTAACTTTGTTTTGGGATCTTGATGAAGAATTCTTACTGATCAATTGTACTTATTTGAGAGTATTAACACAAAAATTAATATAAAATGGTTATTAGGTGGATACCTACTTATTTAGGTTTTAGAAAAAAAACTTGATAGTTTTGGCAACAATAATAAATCAGTGATAACTACTGATTACCACCATTACAAGATTATTATAGGTATAATTCTTTCGATCAGATATATCACTATCGTTTACGTAAGACGATTATCATCGTCTGTAATAATATTATTTTGAATATGTTGGTTTTATGCCTGCAGAATGTAAGAGCTTACGTTTCGACACGTCCCGCCATCTGTCGATACACGGTAGCAACATTTATTAGGTTTTGCAAACCGAAATATATGCGAATCTTTTTAATCAGTTATAATGTTTTAAATCCTAAGTTTAAGATTGTTGAACAACAAATTTAATATTGTTGTTTAAATACATAGATAATGTCAAATGTATTTTCTTAATAGGTACCTAGACTATCCTATTAATTGTACTACGTTAAAAAGACATTTTAGAACAAAATCCTATTCAACATTCTTACAAGTAACTCGACAGATGCTACATTAAAACGAAGCTTGATAAGTCTATCTGTTCTAGTCTCCGAGCCGCAGGCAAGATGAGAACCAATCCTGGCTGACTGATAACACAGTCTGATTGCCCGTGACATTATCAATCTTTACCGCAACTATCGTTTAATCATCCGATTGGAATCCGCGCGGGGAGCTCAGCCCGGGAGGGAAGGGGGAGGGTAGCGAGGAGGGAGGGGTGTGGGGGGATGGTGAGCGGTGGGCGTGGCTGGTCGATACCAGGCGAAGGGCCGCTGAAACTGGCTGGTATGTAAAACGAATGATAAATGATTTAACAAGGCTACCGACTTGGAGACAAGAACTGTAGGCTTCGATTTAAGTTTTTTGTTGTTGCTAGGCGACTTTTGGAAGACTTAGTTGTCGGGGAAAAGAAGACTGTCATTCTACATGTCGTGTAAGAGACGACTTAAGACTTAAGAGGACTTGTTTGTTCTACATTGGAAGTTTTAGTGTAGCAAGCTTCGATCAACTATGAAAAATAATGGAACCATAACTAAATAAAAATTCTAAGTTAAATATATCATAAAATAACTCAAAGGTATCTAAATGAGACGATTATAAAACATAAATAAAAGCATGGCCATTCAAACAATTACGTTAAGTAATTGATCCAAAATAGAAAACAATGAAAGAACATTACAATATTTTATAAATAATAAGGGTAACAGTGCAATGTTTTCCACGTTCCATAAAAAGTGTAAAGGGTCTTAGCACAAACTAAGAATAGACATGCAAATGTAATCTGAACACAATAAAGCGTACGTCACAGTGTCAGCTACCGAGCGAGCGAGCTGAGATGTGCGATATTCCCATAACATCTTTAAAAATGTATACAGCCGGTGATAGCCTACTGAAAGACTACGAGCTTCCTTTGTATTTGTGGATTAAGTAAAAACGGTAGTATGGACGAATGCATACATCCTTAAGAAACAATAGGCGGCCTACACAAATGATAAATCTTTGCATACATACATACATAACATCACGCCTTTTATCCCCGAAGGGGTAGGCAGAGGTGTACATTATGCCACTGTACAATGGAACACCCACTTTTCACTATTTATGTTATGAGTCCCATGTAATAGGGGGAATGTACCACCCACTTTTCACTATTTATATTATGAGTCCCATGTAATAGGGGGTGAGCCTATTGCCATATACCGGGTACAATTCCAGACTCCGTGCTACTACTGAGAATTTTTTGAAAACCCAGTAATAGTTTGCCCGACTCGGGAATCGAACCCGAGACCCCTTGCCCAGCAGTCGCGCTTGCGACCACTCGGCCAACGAGGCAGTCTTCTGGCAGTCAAATGTGCATTTTTCTTACAAACAATGAAAGCTGTCCATGAAGCGGCAACGTTAAATTCGCCTATCCTTTGTGAAGGATGCATGCATTCGTCAAATGACGTAATGTGGTCAGTTACCCTAACCGTTTCTACGTAAAGGTATCTTACTTTATACTTCCCTTTTTGTTGTGTTTGAAAAGTTACTAGCTAGCAGTGTGACATGCACCTTATTGCCAGGAAAACTTGCGTGTTGATATGAACTTAAGTAATGCTTATATTTTTATTCCAGGTCGTAAGGGCGAGCCCATTCAAGCGAGGTTTATTAATTACACAGATATACATCTGTTAGCTGATTTTTTATTATGAAAGCTGTATAGAGTTGAAGATAAATATTAGTCATGCAAGCTTACATAGATTTTATGGGATTTTCAATTAAAGTTATAGATGTCGCTTGTATTAGATATATTCCGGTTAAGTCTACAGTCTCTAATTTTCCGCAGAAATACTACTCAATCATAAAACCTATTTGGTTATGTAGCAAAAAAGTAGCCACTGTTACTGGCAATTATTGATGAAAACTATCGTAGGATGCCATTAAATGTATTTTTTTATCTTTTTTCACAATGGCTAATGGCATTTCTCATTTTTATCAATTAAACCAACCAGTCATGATTGAGAAAAAAATAAAAACTTTTTCCTGTAATAATTTTACATATTTTTAAAATACACTTTAGGATTAAAATATTATCAGCCTTTTTTATTTGATTAATTTTATCCAAGTTTCTTATCTTCCGTACGTTAAAACCAAAAACTAATAACAAACAAAAAGTCAATACTAAAAAGCAAAAAATAACTAAGTATTATTAGTACTGATAGGTTACCCACCCACTGATAGGTAAGAAGTCGGTGCCATAAGTTCCATACAAAATTATTCATTAAAACCTTAATAGGTATCTAATTCACAATTTTGTGGACATTAAGTTATATCATTATAATATGAGCTTATGGCACCGACTTCTAACCTATCAGTGGGTGGGTAACCTATCAGTACTAATAATAGTTATTTTTTGCTTTTTAGTATTGACTTTTTGTTTGTTATTAGTTTTTGGTTTTTGAAGTCGGTTTTTTAAACGCAGTTATTTTATTATTTACCATTTTCAGTGTAAAGCTACATATACCAGTTTTGTTACTTATAATATACATAGGTGCAAAGTCCTCATCAATACAAATGAATCAAGCCCAAACTCAAGGTAGTTACTGTATACCGTTGAGGAGTTCCCTTAACAATTACACTTCTTCATCATCAGACTCTTAATGCCAGCCCCACTCTATCTAGGTGTAAAGTCCTCATCAATACAAATTAATCAAGCCCAAACTCAAGGTAGTTACTGTATACCGTTGAGGAGTTCCCTTAACAATTACACTTCTTCATCATCAGACTCTTAATGCCAGCCCCACTCTATCTAGGTGTAAAGTCCTCATCAATACAAATTAATCAAGCCCAAACACAAGGTAGTTAATATAAACCGCTGAGGAGTTCCCTCGACTGTCTGTCGACTCCATCATCAGGTCGACTTCAGACCCTTATCAAATTGTAGTGTTTAAAATTCGTAATTAAAAAACATAATAGACGCATTACTCCCCCATAGAATTTTTGAAAGTTCCCCTCGGTTTCCCTAGGATCCCATCATCAGATCCTGACTTCATGGAAATGGGACCATCTCGGGAGTATACCCTTTCAAACAAAACAAAAATTTTCGAAATCGGTCTACAAACGGCGGAGTACTGCGCGAACAAACAAAAAAAAAAAAAAAAAAACAATCAGCCGAACATAGTACCTCCTCCTTTTTTTGAAGTCGGTAAAAATAATAAAATTACCGTACGTATAAATATTTTCATAGCAATTTCTATTTCAACAACCTCATAAATGTGAAATTATCAAACCTACGTAAATGAAGCTTCAAAATAGGTAACATTATCTCATCACAACGAATTTGTAAACTCATCGGTATACAAAATTAATTAGAAAATTCAACATTTTGAGTACATTTTAAGTTTAAAATATAGTTGTATTAATAAAGCCCCGCTGACCGGGCGCAATCTGTAATTAGTGCGGGATTCACTGACGCGGGCACTAATTGTGTTACGTCAGTGACACTGCTACAGTACTGGGTTTAATTATATTTTGTTAAATAAAGGTCTCATATTTTAATTGAAAGTAATTTAGGTAACAAGGTTTTAAGTTAATTAGTTACTACTTAATATAAAGCGTTTATTTATTCACGTAACTAGTAATAGTATAGTTTCAAACCACGACAGGGACTCATACTTTTTTGAACAATGTCCCTATTTAGAATGTGATCTGATGGATTGTGTCAGCGTTTAGACACATAATTGTACATGTATATTGAGATCTTTTTTTTAAGGGGGGAAAATCATCGAATGACTGCTCCCGCCTGGGTGAGGCGGAAGGGAGTGTCAGACTCTTACTGACTAAAAACCACCCCGTTCCTTCTCCTGCACGTCGAGTAGGAGCCCCGGTTACCCGTTAGGTTCTCCGCGACTCCGAATCGGCATCGGCCCTATTGGGCCCCATCTGTGGTGGTCTGATGGCTCTTTGAGGCGCGCGCGGAACGCGACGCGCCGTACGCTCGGGTCTGTTTCTGGTCGGACGGGGAGCCACCCATGCTCGCCGTCCGCAGGCCCGCGCTTACGGTGGCCGGAGATCGTCATGTATATTGAGATCTGGAAAAGCAATTTGTGCATTTACACATAGCATGTCTTGTATTGTATTGTAATGGACCCCAGGACACGTGGCACAGCTACCAATCTCTCAGTCACTGTGCCAATTGTGTACACAATATTCATATTTAGGAAATGGTCGCCGTATCTCAACTAAGGAACCATTTACAGCAGCGTAATGGCAGTGCCGGTGTTAGGGATCGCTCTAAGGTCGTTTATGTTTCGTTAATTACTTGTTATGAGTATTTAATTGATATTTAATGGCGATTAGGGTTTCACAGTTAAGTGTGGAGTAAAGGATTAACCTGTTCGTAATTTTTGTTTTAGCTGTTTAGTTAAAGGGTCAAAATTCAATTACGGGTAACCTGTCCGATAGTATTATGTTATTTTGTAATAATACTTTGCTTATTGTGTAACAGTTTTGATTTGTTTTATCTATTTCTTATTTGTATTGGTTTTATTTTTTTTTTTTGGTATAGGAGGCAAACGAGCAGACGGATCACCTGATGCTGATGGAAAGCGATCAGCGGCCATGGACACCCGAAACACCGGAGGAGTCACAAGTGCGTTGCTGGCCTTTTAAAAAGGAATACGATCTTTTTTTCAAGGTTTGAAGGTCGTATCGGTTCGGAAATACCGCCGACGACAGATCATTCCACAGTTTTGCTGTGTGAGGCAGAAAGCTATGAGAGTAGTGCACAGTTGTGGCCTGCCGACCATATATATGGTGGGTGGATGTGCTGTCGTAGACTATCTCTAAAATTACATAAACATAACATAACATCACGCCTTTTATCCCCGAAGCGGTAGGCAGAGGTGTACATTATGCCATTGTACAATGTAACAGCCACTTTTCACTATTTATGTTATGAGTTCCATGTAATAGGGGGGTGAGCCTATTGTCATATACCGGGCACAATTCCTTAAAATTAAACTAGATTTAATCTTAATTTAAACTAGGTACTCATACTTATTGGTAGACTAGATGTCTGGAATTATGACCACACATATTTAATTTCAAAAATTAACAGTTACTTACTACGGAAAAGGGTACTAGGAAAATGAGAGGACTATAAAAAGATTTTAATACAAGCAACGGAGGTCCATCTTTTTATGTGCTGTCTTATTCCAGCACTAATGACGGGACCTGCCTCATAATGGGGAGTTTAATGATGTTGAGTGCAGAGGGCGCTGCCATCGCTACCATTTTTCATAAAAACATGCTCTTTAAAATTCGCATTCAAATTAAAATGGCGGTTGACAGCGGCAAACAGTTTTTATAAATGAATGTTTTTTGTTTATAATTTCTCTTTCCCATTTCGAAAGGATTTTATTTTGACGGTGTACGTCTGGAATAAATGGCTCGTCTTTTAAGCAGAGGATGAATTTAAAAGCAACCCGATTTCTATTCTGTTTTTAAATAATTAATGTTTTTGGTTGGCGAAGAAGATGAATGGACTAGTCCCTTTGGTTATAAAAAAAGTAAGTGTTCCTGACGTCACATCGGGCTCACCACCATACGTGGCCCGCGACCGCTGCGATCGACGGTCATTCATTCACTCGCTCGCCCGACACGACGCCGTGCGCACATATCGGTTGACCCTTACAATCAGTACCTATTTAAATACAGTCTCTTCTCATCATACCGAAGTCTTTTATTATTCAAGACCACCAGCAACACACCTGGAGCTTGATATTCAAACAGTAAGAAAATATCTACATACAAGAAACGTCGCGCTGAGTTATTGAAAACCTTACAAAGAAAGGGATAGGTCAGGCAGATCCGAATCCAATACCTAGGTGACACACCGCTCTCATATGTTTCTTAAATTTTTTTTCGTTTACACCTAATTCGTATTATTCGTATAAGTAACATTTGTAAATCGCCAAATATAATCGTGTTTGATAAAATGTGACTTTCAAGATAGTTTTACTTGTTTAGAATTGTTTAAAAATTAACATAACATAGCATCACGCCTTTTATCCCTGAAGTGTTCGGCAGAGGTGTACATTATGCCACTGTAGAGGTACAATGTAACACCCACTTTTCACTATTATGTTATGAGTCCCATGTAATAAGGGGTGAGCATATTGCCATATACCGGGCACAATTCCAGACCCCGTGCTACTACTGAGATTTTTTTAAAACCCAGTAATACTTTGCCCGACCCGGGAACCGAACCCGGGACCCCTAGCCCGGAAGTCGCACTTGCGACCACTCGGCCAATAAGGCAATGTAAAAATTAAGTGATATGAAAAACGATCCTCTATAATTTCCTAATTCAAGAGACGAAAATTTCCAACAATTATTTATAATAACACCAATAAAAAGATTCCACAAATAAAAACGATTCATCCGCGCGGAACTCGTCGGCACATCTAGTTCCTAATGTGCCGCCATTTTCCCAAGACGTTGACGTTAATGTGCACCTGACACGCGAACATTTTGTTCACACTTTCTCTGTTACTATGTCCCGGTAGGTCCTTAATATTTATTTCGTATTTCTTTCTTCTGAGATGTGACAGATTGCTGAAGAAATTGTGTTATTATACGCATTGTTGAGTAAATTGGTGTGTGACAAGGAATAGGTGGACGTTATCAAAGTGATGTAGCATGATCATTATACTGTTATTGTTGGTTACTGATGTATATCATGTTCTTTATATTGCTTTGATTATTTCGTTACTTTAGTGCTCCTTATGATATCAATGGTAACACTTAGGTAAGTGAAGTTCATTGACGGACTCACTGAAGAGTATAATAAGGGCTGCTTCATTGGTGGGTTGGATGAAGGAAAAATGGGTTAGCTCTGTATCTTTTTTATGGGATAAGCCGGTAAACGAGCAGACGGATCACCTGATGGTAAGCAATCGGCGTCGACCGTGGACATCTGGAAAACCAGAGGCGTTATAAGTGCGTTATCGGCCTTTTGACGATTAGGAGTTTGACGATTGTTGGGGATTCAGGGATCGGGGAGATTGGGGAACGTGGGATTGAGCCTCACTCACACGACGAAACACAATGCAAGCGTTGCTTCACGTCGGTATTCTGTGAGGCCGTGGTATCTCTCTCCGGTCAGTATTTCAGATTTTTTTCAAGTTCACTATTATTTATTTATTTTATTTATTTATTAAAGACACATCAACAGTATACATATTATACACTAGCCATAATACAGTTGAATACAAAATTAAGAAATTCTGATATGCATACCAGTGACAGATGTACACAACACTCACGGGATCATAAATTCCATATTACTATGATATAAAAAATTACCATATTACACACAGTCTCACACTTTTATCTAGGTTCCCCTCATATAATACAAAACCTAATAAGTTTGCTTCATAACTGGAAATGTTCCTCAACATTACCCATTCGTGAGGTCGCGGGAGCGTTATGAGGCAGACATCCTCACACTCAGATATTCTGTAGTCGTATTCAATATTATAAGAGATCTAGTTAGTTGCGCGTAACGAGATCCAAGATGTATTTAATATAACTTATGTACTTATGTGGCACTAGGCACTAATGGTTGCCTGTGGATTTCATTGCGGTAATAGGAAAAATTGGCGTCTAAATATGAAAAATATTATTTGGATCTCGGTCCGTAAAGTGTACCTAATAAACTGCGAATTGATTGTCAAAAAATAGTATTTATTCGTGTGAATAGAACTTATTTATTACTCATTTTGTATACTTTTTATTGAAACTAAAAGCTGTTTTCATACGTAATTTAGATCTACATTTTCTGTTGATTACGAGACATCATTTTTATAAGAACCTAATTCACAATATTTTAGCTCAATTACTAAAATGTCGTCTACATTTTAAGTATTTGCTCCAGTTTTATTTCAGCGAAATAAGTTATTTTGCTTATTTTACAGCCAGATAGAGACTCTTACAACCTTAGCATAACTAGGTACATTATTTACTTCTTATTCTACATTAGTTATGTCATAAATGTTAGTAAAAGTTATCTGTTGACATTGTCTGGTACGGGTGACCGTCAATCGACATTTAACTGCAGAAGGTGAAGTCCCAGACTGTAACAAAGTCATATCTCAAATAACCGTTAGATTGTATCTCTTGCTTAGCGAATAGAATTAGATTTTAATAATTATGTGTCTTATTGGTTCACAGTTAGAGGTGAATTGACGGTGACGAAAAATTTTCAGTTCAATTTCGTCTTTATAATTTCAAAAGAAGTTTACGTTGTATTATAAAATATTTTAATTTCGGTAATTGTAGAAAAACAAGGTGTCAGGACACAGGTCGTGAACGAATAAGAAAGTGCTAATTGTTGGTTTAGTTTGCAGCGAGGTTGAACTTCCAGAAAATCTTTAAGTCGGACTATTTATACATATAATAAAAATAGGAAAAGGAAGAAGACGCATTTAGGGAAATGCATGAAAATATTTTTTATTTGTAGTTAATTTTGTGTAGGTATTCTTTATTATGTTATTATTTTTTGGTATCTTATTTTTGTTATGTTATTGCATTTTTATCTTATTTTTGTTATTGTTTAAAACATGAATATTATGTAACTTAAATTGGAAAGGATGAAATTGTCTGTACGTTGGAGGGTTGGGCACTGATAGTCGAAATACAGGCAATGCGTAGTTCGACTACACAAGCTAAAATCATATTCCTATGAAAAAAATTGGAGCCACAATTATTGTTGATATATTGTATTAAGTGCTTAAGTACAAACAAATTATTATTATTAGAGGTATATTATGAATTCGCATGTAGAGAGAATTTGAAAGAATTTCATAGTGGAATATTAAAACTAACACCCAATACAAAAATATAGTGTCAGTGATCTCAACAGACAGACACTACCAACCTATTCCATCTTAGCGACTTACCAGTCGCTATACCTTATAATATCTTTTAAGGTGTAGGTGGCGCGCGTGCCCTGCGTGCTGATTGCCCGAGGGTAATGAGACGTGGTCGAACCTGATCGGAATCCTCAATGATGAGGAGGAAAACTTCGCCAAATATTGAAGGAATTACTTCGAGAGAGTACGGCTGAGTAAGTTATTAGTGTTTTACCTTGAACGCTGTAAAAGGTGATGTACATATGTGATTTTTGAGGAGAATTATTGACAATTAAGTTGTGTTTTTATTTAGTTGGGTCGTATTGATGGGTTCGTGGTCTTTTGTTTTATAGTTTTGCAATAATATTGTTGTGGTTATCGGATTTTGACTTTACAAAATTAAATGTTAGTTTTCAAGCCTCAATTCTTGTGTTTATTAAGTAATACGATAAACATTTGTCTCATTTTCAACAAGTTTTCATAAATCAAAGCTATACATATGTACCTAATGAAGATTAATAAAATATTTGTTCTTGATCTTGAATAAATCATCAAGAAGTAACTTTAATAACGTTTCTAGTTTATCCTCCGACGGGAATGACACCCACCTAGACAACGAAATCAAACCAAGATAAAACACTTTAAACATTTCTAAATCTAAATCTAAAAGCAAAACAAAAGTAATGAAAATATTTAACATGGTTGTCATTCCCGGGGTGGGGTCCCGGTCCCCTAAGTGAAGGGATGTGGTGTCCCGGGATGATAATCCCGAGTAATCTACGACACGATTGCTATCGCTGACACTGCTGAATGGCAGCTGTGTTTTGTGGTATAAACGCTTTCCAAGCTCAATCTGTAATTTAGATTATTTTTGTTATGACCAGAAAGTATTAAGATACATTTTTCTTGTCCTGTGTCGTTAATAGGGTAGTATCCTAAATTTTATTTTAATGTCCGTCTGGTATATAATATTTTAAAACATTAGAGACGTAGTTTTTCTTTTGTTACTTAATTGAATATTTTCGTCGATATATTGATTTGAAAT